AGTACTAGTAAAGTGAAAGTACGTAAGAGGAGAGGGAGAAAAGAATAATACTGCAAGAAAAAATGCTACTTACCCTGGAGCAGTGCTGCCATTGCCGTGTTTCTTGGACGCTGTTATGAAATCATCTGCTGTTCGTGATAGAAGAGGAGGTGCTGGAGCAATACGTAAATCACGGGGACGTGTAACGCGTGGAAGCATCGAGCTGTCAATTGGACTGCCACCTTGCGGAAATTCGCACCGCGGACTACGAGATAACGGAGTGGAGCAGATCGGATAGAGCAATCCTATAGAAAAATTTCGACGAAAGCTTATTAAACAGAAAGAAAAGAGAAACACATCTACGCCGATATTATAAAATTAGTGGACTTAAATACAACTGGAGTTGAGAAGAATTCGTTCTATTTTTGTCCGCTCCAGAGGCTGCGTACAGACCTAAACTCTTTCGACAAAGGCTACCGAAGGCAAACTTTAACGGACTAAACAGGCAACCCATTCACTTCAAATTCAATTGTGAGAATTGTCAAAATTTCGTCCTTAAATGCTTACATTTCTAGCAAATTCAATAAAGCAGTATTCGGGTAGCAGGGCGCAATTGCAAACACGCGCTGGTAACAGTAACGTAAGCAGCACTTTCCCTATAACAAGAGGAGAAACAGAGGTTTATTTCCCAGGAGCCGTTAGCCAAAACAAAAAAAAACACCCCTAGCCAAAATTATCATGCAAACAAATGAAATGTTTGTCTACCCTTGCCAAAATAGCATATTTTTAGAATTTACATAGCACAAAATACTCAATACATGTAAAATTCCTAGCTGAAAACACACACACACACACACACACACATACACACACGCATACATACATATACAGAAAATCATAGTTGCAATACTTTTCAGTATGTTTTCCAAGATATCCATTGGTCTAACATGAACCCTTTTCATAACAACTAATTTTTGAAAAATGACAGAGGAAGAGATTCGCCCTACCCCAATACTTTTCACTTTTCGAACTAATAAGTTGTGCACTACTAACCCAGCGTCCTTCTTCAGCAAGGTAGCACTTTGTTTCACAAGAAAGCGGACATCGAAAAGGTGATTTGAGTAGCAACAAATGGGTTCTTGGAAGCTTAATACTCCTATTATAAGGCAACCAGGACGTTCAGCGACTAATATGCAGGCCAAGCACGTGCTTCATAACAAATCAACGAAGAAGTCATGGATGACTTTTCGCTCAAAGTTACATTTCAGTAGCGAGCAGAAGGCGTGGCCGCTCGAACACAAGATGAAGGAATAAGCCTAATTTAGTGAAGACGAAGGAGAGGGAGGAACCCCGCAAATTACAGGCCTTGTCCGGATGAAGATGTGAGCAGAGACGAGTTGTGCTTTATTAACGACAAATTGGCCATGGCCAAGCCCTGCTGCTACTGCTGCTACTGCTACTACTGCTGCTACTGCTACTGCTGCTACTGCTACTGCTGCCGCTACTGCTGCCACTGCTACCGCTGTTGTCTTCGGCTTTTTTTCAGTGCTGCTAAAAATCAAAGTGGTGAACAAGCCATCCCATGTCCATCTGTTTATTCATGCAGCATTTTCATCGTTCTTCACTGAGCAATTATTGCTGTCGTTTATTCTGTATTTATCCGAGCCAG